ACAACAGTGGCACTGGCCAACACTCACCTCTCCAGCAGCCCAGGGCACCCTCCCTGCAGGCTCTGCTCCAGGCAGGACAGTGGATTCAGGGCTTTTGGTCCTTTGGCTTCCCAACAAATGCAAAAAAAGCCTCTTCAAAGGCATCCAGGCAGGCTCCAGCTCCAGGAACGGGAACTCCCAAGGAGGAGCTGTCAGAGAAGCACATGGATCTCACTTTTTGTATAATAACCTGAGGGTCAGCCATAGCTCTGGGGACATCCCCAGTCTCAAGCCCCCTTCCTCCAGCTTATCTTTACACCTCCCTCTCCTCCCAGGACTGCAGACTCCCCCAGCCACTCACACTACAAATGATTGACCACAAGTTTCCTATCAGTCTGCTGAGGAAGGAAAACCAGGCCAGACCCAAACCCTTATACATGCACACCACTCCCTCCCTCTCCACACCACCCTCCAGACTGGCTTCTGCCCAAAACGATTTGTTTTGGTGCTTGAGTTTTCTTCCCTGCCACTGTACCTCCAAAAACAAGATGTTCCTCCCAAGCCCTTGCTCATTTTTAAATGTGTGAAGTTCTTTTGGCAAGACAACCACATCAGTTTTTCACCTCCAGCTTCTTATTTGCTGGCAGCTCTCTGTCCGTTCTTTACAAACACTGGAAGTGTTCAGATTGATCACATTTTGATATGGAATTCTCTTTGTTCAGTAACATGCCCAAACATGAATAAATGTGAAGGAAAAGAACTGCTTCACATAATAATTATAGAAAATTCTCTTCCTGTCAAATCCTGTTATTTTCACAAAGACAGAGATTGTTTGGATCAAGGAAGGGAGGTCAGGTTCAGATCCTGGGGAGAGTGGTGTGTAGTGATAATAACACTTAGGATTTCAGCAGCATTCCTTATCCACAGATCTGAGCCCTGTCTCCAGTACATTACAACAGCAGGATATGTTATCTTATGCAAACTCCTTCCTAAATTTCACAATAGCTGTAACAAGCAGGAATCATTAAATTAGTGTGGCTGAAAAACAGCCACAGAGCTCCTTCTTTGCTTTGCTTTTATCTAAATAAAGTGAAGCACTCAGAGCTGAGGCATTAGTCTTCTTCACTGTTTACCAAGAATCTACATTACTCTTAATGATATATAAATACTAAAAGTAATTAAAAAAAAGGGGGAAACAGAAAGGAGTATCCAAACTCTCCTCCTTTAAGCAAGTTACCCAGTTGCAACCCCTACAAATGCTCAGTTGCCCTTTTACTACATCTGGTTCAAAGGCCACTAAAAATGGGATTCTTTGCACTGACATCAAAGGGCTCTGAATGGGACTGTCTGAAACACGAGGGGAGACAAGATTAACTTCAGCTTTCTGCCTATAGAACTCCAGCAAAAAGTAACAAATAATAACCAGAAGATAAGGTTTTCTTGAGAACCTACTGATTTCAGCACATTTTTCCAACATCAGCTACCACTATGAAGTTGCTTGCTTTGTGAGAGTGGTGCAGAGTGTGCTACTAAACAGAGCTTGCAGCTTAATATGACCTTTTTTTTCAATAACACTAAAGAACACAGTGACTAATAGGAAGCAAGAGGGTGGGAAAAGAGGTATGAATAGTTTATAAAGCATTAAATTGGTTGTCTTTATTTAGGACCATATCTGTATTGATCAGGCTTTCCTCCTGGCCTGCTGTGGAGCTGTAAGAACAGGCATCAGTGCCAAAAAATCCTGCACTGCTGCTGAAACCTTACCCTACCTTTTAACTACAGGCTTTATTACTCGTGTAAATACATCCTAGGAACTCAGCTTTTAAAGTGGTTTCTCTCAGTAACCGACTTTACTTAAACACATCTGGAACTTCTTTGTAAGTCACAACTGCTTTGTGTAGTCACCTGTATGATGAAGGTTAAATGCTGTGGAATTACTGCTGGGGGCTCTGATTGCCCCACAATCACAGGAGTGGATGTATAAAGCAGGGATACAAGGGGCAGAGGAGTCCTAAACAAACCCAAGATTATGTTCCTAATTGAAATGGCAGCCCAGGGTTTTCGCATATAAAATCTGGAATCTGAGCTTGCTTGCCTTAACATCATCTGTTTCAGCTGCTCCACATTCCAGGACTCCTTCAGCCTTGACCTCATCCCTGAGATTATTCTCCCTTCAGTCAATTAGAAGTTCTCAAATATACAATATTTATACCCAGCAATGAGGCAGATCTGCTGATTGTCTTTCTTCAGCTGCCTGGGTGGCCCTAAGAATGAGGAAGTGTCCCAGGACTGGGGAATTCCCATTGTCTGAGCCGGGCTCAGCACTGCCAGGGCTGCACAAGGGCAGGAGGGGATGGTGGAATTGGGAAGATTGAAGGTATAAAGAGAAGGATTCATTCTACACATTTTGTCCATGGCCCTCAAGATTTATGCAAAGTACCCATCCACCCTAAAGGTCTTGAGACTGGAAAAGAAAAAAAAAAAAATCTATGGAGTAAAACAACTTTAAATGAAAGCTGAAAAACACTGTGAATTAGATCTGTTGGCTTCCAATCTCTGCCTGCTACCTCCAAGGCTACTACTGGTTTTACTGGGGTTTTTTTATTTTCTTTTTTTTTTTTTTTTTTTTTACTAAATGAAAACATAATCATTAAATAGATTTACAAAACTATTTTGCATCATATATAAATATCACTGACAATCATATCCAGATAACTTTTATTTCTTATCCCAAATCAAAACAGACCCTGGATTTTAAAAATTTATTTGTTGCTATTTCCTTAATCATGTTTCTTGTTTTGAGAGTGTCAAGTCATTAGGTAATACATGACCCAAACAACTTGATAATCAATGAGAATCAGGCCTACAGTACCAGAAGTATTAATTCCTTTGATGAGAGTATCTTTCTTCCTGTAGAGTCTATGTCTTATCTTCTTCTAAAGCTTACATTAGGTCATTTGGCCAAACCCTTGCCCTTAATTTCTGAACTCTGGTAGCTGATTTAAGAATATATTTTATTACTCCTTTTGTTTGCACAGCAGTGGGTGCTGATATGGTCTCCCCTGGCTCTTCTGAGATTAAAGCACACGGAAGAAAAGGTAGAACAATGTAGAAGATGCCTTCAAAATTTCATGTAGAAAACACAATAATTTTTTGAAAAATATTGTTAAATCAGTTCACACACAACACAGTTTTTTGTTTTGTCATGACGTATCTATATGTATGATACAGTTATATATTTCTCATTTCTATGATAAATTTGCATTATTATAATAAAAATTAGTAATAGTTGCAATAAGGAAAATGAAATTAATGAATCAGAATTTAGACTGATGCAATTGTTACTTATAATACCTGCAACATGTAACCAGTACTTCCTACTCTCTGTGTTCTGTTAAACAGTAACTGCACAATAAATCTTCTTTTTCTTTTCCCGATAAGTTAAAACACAATCATAAGCATTTGCCAAAATCAATCCTGTATCCAACAGCGTGAGAGTACAATATCTAGAACTTCCTGATCTGAAGCAATTATTTTTTTTCTAGATATATAACAAATGGAAATAACTTCAAACCAATTCCTTTTTTCAGAGATGTTTAGTCACAATATTTTTCAAAACAGAGCACCCATAGAACTGTGAGGCTGAACTGTAACTCTGCTGATGCTTGGGGAGCTTGACTTGAACACACACAGACCCTCCCTAACCCAGCAAAACAAAGGGTACAAACATTCAGGTCACTGCAGTTCCTCATCTCTCAAGGTGAGCAAGCATTTTTTTCCCAGTTTGAGCATGAACTTCAATATACTGTTAAATTCAGCAATTTACAGGGGTTCTGTAGTAATTTACAGGTCAGTAGTTTACAGGTTCCCCCCTGTATTAATTACGAGAACATCTTGTCATTTGCACAAACAGGGTGCAATAAAAGCAATTTAAATTTCCACAGAGAGCTGTGGGCTCGCTTGAGGCTATTGCCCTGCCTGGTGACCACCGTGCTTTTGTGAGCAGCTGGGAACATGGTCCACTCCAACCTCTCAATCTTCAGGCACTGACAAAAGGCAAGGCTTGACAAGCTGACAAAACATGACATCTTAATGAGGTTTCTTTGCAAGTGTTACTGGACAGTCCACACCAGAAGCTGGAGTCGGGGGCAGGGCTGGAGAAGAATGTGAGGTTGCAGAGAACAGTGTTCCTCACTTGGACAACTCCTGGGTGATCTTCCAACCAGTTTCTTACAGATTTTAGTGGACATGTTATATTGGCATGATACACAGAAGAAATTTTGGCTACAGCTCTGTTAGTACTGAAACATTCTTAAATGAAACACTTTGATTTAAAATATCCACAATTAAGTTTGCAACCTGTCCCCATGTGCTCTCTCTAACATGTGTTTCCCAAAACAGGATATACTGCACATACTACTGTAAGAAAAGATACTGCAAATTATCTTAAACCCTTACCTATTATCACTTAATAACTGATATTATGACAGAAAATGGGGTCACAAGCTGGAGTGTTCTTCTAGTCCCAGCTATCAGGTATTTTACACAATATGAAATTTGTCTTAAGTGTTGCACTCTAGGTGGCTTTGCCTGCAAAGAGGTGCTCATAGGTAAGTAGGGAAAAGAAAGTATGAATAAATTGGTGACTTAATTTCACCCAGAGAAATCGGTGGGAGAGTCTTGGGGGTGGGGAAAGAAAAAAACAAAAACCCAAGCAACACTCAAACCTGTAGCCCAGCTTTGACACAAAAAAAGCTGCGTTTTTATTACACAAGCGATTCCTCCTGGAATCAGACACGGAGCAAGAGGATCAGGTAACTTCCAAGCCATAACCCGGAGCAGCAGGAGCAGCCCAGCGGCTCCCCCGGCGCTGCCGGGAGGATGTGCTGCCCCAGCCCGGCCGTTACCTGCCGGGGCAGCGGGGGCGGTGCGGGGCCGTGCCCGCCCCCGGCCCGCGCCCCGGGGGAGGCCGGCAGCTGCCGGCGGGTGGGAGGCGTCTGCAGCTGGAAAACAGCAGCTCCGCTTGCTGATCAGATTTGGGGGTGGGGTGGGAGGTGTGTGTGGGAAAAGCCGAGAGATGGATCTTCCCTTCTTTTGACAACACTCTCCCCTTCAGGACTAAGTCTGCACTGGAGGAAATTAACTGCGAGGGAGAAGCGCTAATCACACCTCCGTGTGGGAGCCAACTCCCGGGAGCAGCGTGTGCCGCCAGCCCCAGGATATTCCCTGCCTCCAACCTGAAGTGATCCCTCCTGGAACGGTTCAGTCGCGCCTGCAGTTCACCTTTGCCTGCAGTTAACCAGCGTGCAATTTGGGTTTAATGGAGCTGGGTTTATTGTTCCTCTTTGGACTTACGATTACGTCGACTGCAGGTAACGTGAATTTCTCTTTCTTTGCCCACTTCCACGCATGCACACAAAGAAAGGCTGGGTGTTTTTTTGTGTTGCCTTTTTTTTCCCCCCTCCTTCCAAAAGGCTGTAAGCAGCAGCCCACTCCGGTGCGCTGTAAAGAACGGGACTGCAAAGCCATCCTTTGGTTTCTCCCGAGCCCGGCGGGCTGGCGCTGCAGCCCGGGGCGCACACGAACATAACGGTGCTCCCGGCGCCCCGGGACTCCGCAGGGAGCGGGGATGGGTCGGGCCCGGCCCGGGGGGGCTGCGGGCGGGGGTGTGCGGGGGCGGCGGCGGCGGGCGGCAGGGCCAGGGCGGACGGCGGAGCGCTGCGGCACCGGGCCCGGCGCTGCACTTGCTACACCTACAAGGACAAGGAGTGCGTGTACTACTGCCACCTCGACATCATCTGGATCAACACCCCCGAGTGAGTGCGGGAAATGGCGGGCGGGGGGCGGGCGGGGTCAGCGCGGGACGGGGGGAGCCCAGCGCAGCCCCCCGAGCCCCGCAGCGCCGGCACCTGCCCGGCCCGGGACCCCGCACAGCGGGACAGGCACCGCGGCGTGCCGGGCACCGTGACAGGAGGGAACAGCGGTGATTTCCCACGAGAAATGTGGCTCTGACATCTCACCCGCTGGGAGAGCAGGAGTCGTGTGCGTGCAGATGTGCCAGTTTTGATACAAATTAGTGTGGAGAAATGCCGAGACGTTAAGATAATGTTTGAAAAATTCAATATGCCAGATTTTAAGATGTTACAAAAGAAAGCATTTTACAACTGTGCTCTGCGGAAACACAGGCTTTTGTTTCAACTCGTAATAAAAACAAATTTGGAAGCCGTTTGCCCTGGATTGGAAGTTCTGAGCTCCACACAGGGCGGTGGGGGTGGAGCACACGTGCAGAAAAGCTGCTCTGCACTGACAGTGCTTAATGGGAAGAAAGCATCCAGGAAGAATGACACTTTGCCTACATCCCAAAGGTTAGAGGCCTCCTTTTCCTACACCACTGTATATATCCTGTCTTGCTGAGTAACCAAAACAGATTTGTAAAGATTCTGCCAGCTAACAGGTTCCTGTAGCAACCACAGCGATCAGTTCAGTACAAAAATAATTAGGACATCAGATGAACCTGAGAACAAATGACTTCAAGAATTCAAGATTTTCAGACTCTGGGATGTGAACTTGAAGTATTCTGGTGGCTAAAGTCTGGGAACAGTTGTATTGATTCATATCTGCCTTTGAATCGATTGCAAAGCTTTTAATGAGATTAAAATTACAAAAGGAGTAGAAAAATAGAAAGTAGCCATAAACTAGGTTAAGTCAAATGGGGTTTAGGGCACTTAATTTGTAAATTCACGTGTGTGTCCTGGCTAGAGGCCATGTCTGATGACGTCTTTTGAACTTCTACCAACCTGTGAGTATCATGTATTCACACAAGTCATTCAATTCTTCGAGTTCCATACCTGCACTAATCCACCCCAGGATTACTTAGGGTTATTTTAGCCAAATATTTATGACTCAGTAAATTTAAGTCAGACCTCACCAGTGAAAATGGGGGAATGACATTCCTTTTCCCCTACGCACTGAATAAATAGACTTCTGCTAATTTTAAACACACGCTCCTCTTTTTTTTTTCTTTTTTTTTTTTTTTTCTTCTTTTGTTTTTGGATATCCTGTTTTAAGTCTACAGGACTTAAATTTTTCATTCCATGGCCAAAATTATTTAGTGTGCATTAATTCACTGATGTGGAGAGTTTTCCTACATGAGAGTTTTTTGCCAGTATCACTAAAGAAAGAACAAAAAAATTAGAAAACAAGGCATATAACATTTTCATGATACCTGTAGAATTGGCAATTAAGTCTGTATAATAATCCAAATATTAAACAGTTGGGGTTCTAAGTCTTTATTTTCTTAACTGAAGTCAGTTGTACATAAAATAGCAGCAGATCTGTGAAGTCTACCCCCACTGGGTATAGGTTAACCTGAAATGATTTAATGTGAGGACCAGGAAATTATCTTTTTATCATTTTTACGCCATGTGATGGGATGTTTCTATACAAACCATGGAATGAATACATTCAATTTTAATATTAATTATTCACACAGAATAATACATTTTTAGCTCCAAAGACATGAACTTGTATAACCTAACAGCACTGTTGGAACTGGGTGAATTGGGGTGCTGGGAGCCCTCTGAGGCTGACAAAGAGTGGGTGGATGATGGTGAAATTAGCCTGGAATTAGTCCAGCAGGGACTGAATTTCCTGGGCTCTGTCTGAAGTGGGAAGGTTTGCTGACCTGCTCCATGGACAGGTGACAGCAGTACAAAACTCTTGTCACAGCACAGTTGTGATTTCAGAAATCCCAGGATTCTTCCTAGGAATGCTCCCAAGGCAGAGGTAAACATTAAATTAAGTGTATTGGATATTTGGAACCATTTCAGTGCAACAAGAGCAGCAGGATTTAAGATTCCATCTGCCATGAGCAGCGCTAATTCTGCTCTGGTGATTGATTTGGAATAACATCTCAGGAAGTCAAGAGGTTCTTCTGGATGTGAAAGAGGGGAACCAGGCCTGCTTGGGCAATTTAATATCCTGAGCAAGTTACACTACTTCTTTGAAATGGAACTAACCACGAGATGTGTACAGATGGCTGCTTGTAAAAGGGGCTTTTACATTGCTCTTGTACACATGTTGTGGAAAGTTTTTATATTTACTAAAAATTTGGCTCCAATGCAGCTTGGAGGGTCATACACACAGTGAGAGTCCTGAAAGTTGGTGTAAAGTTTGGAGAAGTTTTCCTGACATCTGGTATTTTTCTTGCTTATTTATTTTTTTTTCCCCACTACATCAAACCCTACAATTGCTTCTTATGTTTTTCTTTCTTTCGCCCCTGACCTTTTTATTTCACTTTGTATCTTCTTGTTCCCCACAAAATTTCCTCATACTTTCTGTTTTCAGGCTACTCTTGCATCTATACTTTAAAGACAAACTTTAATTCCTCCTCTGGTTTCTTCTGCTTTTCCCAACAAGAGCTGTTAAGCATTGTTGTAATATATTCAAAACAAATCTTGGTCATGGCCTCTCCTCCTTTTCTGGAAAAGCAGTTAAAGTTTTTATTGAAGCTGTTGGAGGCAGAGTGACAATAGAAGGTCTATTTCTATCCCTGCTGAGAAACCACTTAGATCAGCAGGGTGACAGTTGTAGAAAAGCACAAAATTGCAGAATGTGGAGCCTCTGACTCCCTGCAGCTTTCACCAATTAAATGAGAAATTATCTCTGCACACATGTTTTGAGTATTGCTCTATACTTGACTGTGAACCACTGCTAGTCCAGACCACGAGAAGCACCAGTGTTTTTTGGATATAGTGAGTCTTTCATTCTGGGAACAGTGGGAAAGTGGAAAAGAAGATGACCTAAAGAAAGGCAGGTAAGTCAGAAGAGAATAATGCAATTACGTGGTGTAGACAAACAAAGGTTGCATAACAAAGGTAATTAAAAGCTGGTAAACTGCTCTCACTGATAAGATTGATTAGCCAGGAATTAGTTTGCAATGTATTTTTTTTTGTCAAGTGATTAATTATGCTTATCTTGATCTATAGTTATAGACACATTTTAAATAATTAATTGTCTTTCAAACAGTACCCACTGACACAATACAGGCACCGCTTGATGCTTAATTTTGTAAATTAAAGAAGAAAATATAGGCAAGAGAACAAAATATGGGCAAGACTACTTTTAGATCTGCACCACTTCAGAGTGGTCCTATATTTCACTATGAACAGAGATTGTGCATCCAACAGCAATAATAACAGTTAATTATAACAGTTCCTTCACTAAATAACATGAATGTTGCTGCAGGAAGCTCTATTGATGCTCAGAATGATGAGTGATAGATTAAAAAGGTGACAACTCCTAAGAAAGTGTTACTATCGTGAGGGCACAGATACTCAAGTGGTCTTCAATTCTAAAATAAAAGTGTAATGATCATCTATGGCAATAATCCAGATATTTCCAAAGGAGAATTCCTCACTCGAACTAAGCACCAAAATTAAGAACATTTCTTTTGAAGGGTCTAAACCAAAGCAAAAGTGTTTTTTTCTTTCCTAAATGACACGTCACTTTGGTATTTGTTATTATGTTCAGAAGAAGAGTGAATGAAATTCTGTGGCCACACTGTAAAGACCAGTTTCATGATGATCTAAGAGTTCTGTCTGCCAGTTAATATGAGTTTCTGAATCAGGAAAATTGGATGGAAAAAGTGAAAGGCAGATTTTGGTCTAACACTGTGTTGCTGCTCTGATCCTCTGTATTTAACACATGTTCTGTTTCCTCTGGGGGAGGGCAAGGACAGGGACAGGACTTGTGTCTGTCTCTGCTGTGTGGGACACACTGGGAGGGGATCTGGTCAGTGTCCCATGCTGTGGGAGCAGGTGGGGACACTGGAAGGATCTGATATTTTGTCACTTAATAAAAAAATTTGTTTCTGTGACTTGAGCAAGTCAGATAATCCTTAGCAACAAGTTAGCTCCAGATAGTGCCCAACAGAAATGTGTTTTCCTGACCTCAGGTGACCACTGGCTGAGGTGAGAAAGGCTTTTCAGACACTTGTGGTTGTGTCTCTAAGTGATGATGAATGGCTTTGTCAGGAGCTAAACAGCCTGAGCAGATCCCACCTGCACCCAGCTCTCCTACAAATGATCTTTGATCATTACTGACTTAGGTTACCATCAGAAAGTCTTCTCAGAATGGAAACAATCTGTAGCCTATCATCACTTCACTCACAGTTTTGCTCACACACACACAGATGATGTCTCAGGATGGTGTTCCAACAGACAAGATTTAATACAACCCAGTGGTTACTCTGCTCTAACTGCATGTGCTGCTGGCCAACTTTTCCTTCATAACATCTTTTTGTTACCTGCATCTCTTTGGTGATTGAATTTTGTTGAACAGAAGCCCACATTACAAAATTTAAAAGCAAAGATGCTTTTAATCCTTATGGACATTAAGTGATGTTCTAAATTATTATAATTACTCCAATTCTGGATAATTATATTTATCATTAAATAAGTATAGGTGATGTATTGGTGTGAAGTATTTTACTGGAAATAAAAGTACACTAAATATCTCTTGTTCAGCAGAACAATTAAGCAGGTGATTATAAACTCTAGATCAGATTGAAAATCCCTGCTAGTCAGAGGCATGATGATAAAACAGTGGCTGCCAGCCAGGAAGCTCAAATAAGGGAGCTGATCTGTCAGCTGAACAGTGCACATAGTTAACCTTCAGAACCAAGTGCCAAAACTGAAATGATGAATCTTTGTTGAGTTGATTTTATTTTTCTGAATGAAGCTCGCCCTGATTTTGCAATCTTTACTATCCATGGGAACATGTGGAATCTGTTTGTCTTGCAAAATCTTCACGTGAA